CTTTTTGCTATCGCACTCGGCGGAATACGTCCTTACTCTACGATATAGATACAAGTGAACACTAACGTAACATATAAAATCAGAATTTTGATGTTTGTTGAAGGTAAACTAAATTCACGAACAAATACTTACAATGTCGGGATAGTATTATGAGGTTTTTTCCTGGTTTTCCCTCATAATTTACTATGGAATCACTAACAGGAGAATTTTACTGTCATCATGTCATGTGTTTGTCTTTTTAAAGACGAATTACATGCTATGATTTTTTTCTGGCGGATATTCTCAAGTTAAAGTTGATTTCATGTAATCGAATGAACTATCTCATATATAAGTAAAGTCGTCCCAGGAGCGCAACTCAACAATATTGGCAATATCATTTTAAAGTCGTCTACTTTAAAATGCATAATGTATTTCTGAATTGTCAATATAAATGAGTCAGATAAAATTAAATTATTAGAAGAATTTTTCACTATGTAACAAAAAACAAAATTGTTTAATTTACTGTTTGTATTTTGAGAACGATTTCCGAAGTGGAAATTGAAACGTCAATAAACGTATTTTTATCTTTAATTGTGGCTTATTCCCAGTTTAATAGTAATTAGTATCATCAGTAATCTAAACTTATTTTGAAATAATAGTGACTACAAACACAAATTAAAAAATTCCAAAATATTCAATATTTTTGTCCATGAGTTTATAATATTGAGTGTTATGTAGTGAGATATGTAATATTTGACATCCATGTATACCAACATAACTTTGAATTTCTTAAATTTGTTTGCATTTAATTTATAGTGAAGTTAATTTTGTTGTGTTGTTAATACGAAATAGACACTCTCAGTTCTTTTTCTATATTTACCTGAGATATATATTAGAAGCCACCGCAAAAATCCAGTGTCATAATTTAATAGAATGCTAAATGTCCTTGTTTTTGGTGAAAAAACTTATTGTAAAGTATATGAAGGTTTCGGATCTGCTGTTGAGAGCCATTCGGAAATATGTATAATGGAATGGATCTCTCCCGAATGGATAACTCCCGACTTTCTATAAATTTGTCGTCAGCTAGAAAATACTTTTTAAAATTCTTTTCCAAGCTGGCTAAATGATTTTCAATTATTACAAAAGCTATTTTTACATTTTTTTTTCAGCCTTGTAATTTTAGCACAAGTATCCATATTTACATTGATTTTTTTTTTATTTTAAATTTTCGCTCCAAAATTGTATTTTCTACAAAACGTGTTAACTTTGTCACTCATATCTAATATACAGTGTGTAAAAGCCAAATGGAATAAATTCGTTATTTAGGTTACTGTACATATTTATAAAAAATCCCGAAACACGTCAAATTTAAATTATAACTTGACATTCTTTAACTTGAAAACGTAACACCTACCTTCAACCCCCTTAGAATGACAGGTTTTTTTAAAATAGGAAGTATAGGCTTGTGATATATGGTTTGAAAGGTCTTTTCATTCTCCATTCAAAAATAATGTCGCTTTAAAGTTTATTAAGATTAATTAAGATAAAATAAATTAAAATCATGTGGTTACCGAAATTCGCTACAATACAATCAAAAACTAAAATGTAATCCAAAACGTAATAAAACGTAGAACACGAAAAAGAACTATAAATGAGATTGAAGTAGATGTTCAAAATGTTCACCGCGAACGTCTTGGCAACATCCTAATCTCAAATAAAACTGTCTTCTAACATTATTTTACATAACAGGCGTGATCGACCTAATCGCAAGCGCTATTCGTTCTTTTAAGTCATTTAAATCCGAAGGTTTAGTTTTGTACACATAGCTCTTCACATATCCCCATAAAAAGAAATCTAATAATGTAAGATCAGGTGATCGCGCTGGCCATTCAATCGATCCTCGCCTCCCTATCCACCGATTGGGAAATATTGTATCGAGGTACTGCCGGACATTAAGTTGTTAATGTGGTGGTGCTCCATACTGCTGAAACCATATCGTATTCGCTGGAAGTTGAGGGTTTCCTGGATTAGAATATAAATTTGACAACGTTGGAATGACATCATTTTGAAGTAGTTCCAAATAATTGTTGCCATTCAAGTTGCCCTCAATGAAAAAGGGACCAATAATATTGTTTCCTACAATCCCTGCCCAAATATTAACCTTTTGAGGGTATTGAGTGTGTTCTTCTCTCGTCCAGTGAGGATTTTCAATGGCCCAATAGCGGCAATTTTGCCGATTAGCACGACCGTTAAGTGAAAAAGTACACTCATCAGAAAACATAACGTCTTCTAATTGGATAATATTGTTATCCAACATATCCATCATTTGCTCACAAAAAAAGTTCTTCTATCAAAATCGTCTTCTATGAGCTCCTGAGTAGGTATCATCTTATAGGGATGCAATTTATTTTCTTTTAATACACTGCACCCCAAAATTAACGCATAATTTTAAAAACCCTGGTAAATGAAATAATTTTAATGTTTCGATTTTTGTGCTAATATATTATCGTTACCCCCGGTATATTATAAAATTTATTGAAAGAACGGTAAAAAACGCTGATGTTTTTATCATTTTTTTGCAAAAAATTAAAAACATGCTAATTGTGCTTCATTTTATTTCGAATTTAGTTGGGTTGGATTTCGTTGTGCTGAACGTTTAAAGGGGTTTTTCAAGTTTATTAAGTGTTTTTTCTTTGAAATGAACCACCCGCAGCAAGAAAATCGAAATTTGTCAGAAAGTGACTGTTTTAGAATCGTTACTCTTCGCGAAGAAGGATACACTCAAGTAGAACTCGCTGAACGTTTTAACGTCACCCAGTCAACAATTTCAAGAGTGTTATAGCGTTTTTCTGTTACTGAAAGTAACTCGAGAAGACCCGGTCAAGGCCGTAAAAGGGTTACAACTCCTAATCAAGACCGGTTTTTGACACTTCGTACACTGAGACAAAGGTTTGTTTCCAGTACTTCTCTACAAAATGAATTTTTGGATCGTTATAACTTTAGAATCAGCCAAAATACAATTAGAAGAAGACTTGCCGAAAACGACCTACACCCTGGAAGGGCACCAATTGCCCCATTATTGACCAGAGGCCATAGAAGGCAAAGATTGAATTTTGCTCGTGAACATGTTGATTGGAATAATGACGATTGGGGAAGAATATTGTTCACCGATGAATCCAGGTACTGTCTTTTTTCTGATGACAGGAAAAACCGAGTTTATAGAAGGCCTGGGGAACGCTACGCACAGTGTAACACCGTAGGGACTGTACAGTATGGCGGCGGCTCGGTAATGGTATGGGGTGGGATTAATTTAGAGGCTCGTACGGAATTAGTTAAAATAAATCACGGTCGGCTTATATCGCAGAGGTATATAACAGACATTTTAGAAGAGCATGTCGTGCCATTTGTACCATTTATTGGGGATAATTTCATGCTTATGCAAGATAATGCCAGGCCACACACGGCAAGAATTGTGCAGCAGTATCGTCAGGAGGTTGGAATTCCTGCTATGGATTGGCCTGCGAGAAGTCCTGACCTTAACCCAATAGAACATGTTTGGGACATCATAGGCAGACGACTACGACAACTACCTAATGCACCAAACACATTAGATGAACTGTTTTTGCGGTTGATTGCAATTTGGGATCAAATTGATCAAGAAGAAATCAGAACGATTATTCTCAGTCTGAGAGATCGTTGTCAAGCAGTAATAAATGCCAGAGGAGGCAATACTCGATACTAGTACACGGTAGTAGTATTTTCTTCAACTTTAAAAACTTTTTCTTCATTAATTTATGATGTTAGTTTGTTTAGATCAGTTCGTTTAGATGTTATGATTTATGTTAGGATGTTATATTGTTAATTTCAATACATTTTTTGTAAAAAAAGAATAGTTTTATTTAAGATGTTCTAAAACAACCATAAAGCAGAAAAGAACAAACAAAATTTTTTTCATTACAACTCAACTTTTTACTTAAATTAAAATACTGACAACTTAAATAAAACAATTTACTAATGCGTGTTAAAATAACGTTGCCACGGAAATTCTTTAAAGTTTTTTAATGGTTACCATCTAAAAACCACATTGCTATGGTTTTTGTTTACTTCTTATTATCAAGACCTAAACGGGAAATAAGTTTTGAGTATATTTTAGCGAATTTCGGTAACCACATGATTTTAATTTATTTTATCTTAATTAATCTTAATAAACTTAAAAGCGACAACATTTTTGAATGGAAAATGAAAAGACCTTTCAAACGATATATCACAAGCCTATACTTCCTATTTTAAAAATTGGGGGTTGTACCTGTCATTCTAAGGGGGTTGAAGATAGGGGTTGAATTTTTACGTTATAGAATGTCAAGTTATAATTTAAATTTGACGTGTTTCGGGATTTTTTATAAATATGTACAGTAACCTAAATAATGAATTTGTTCCATTTGGCTTTTACACACTGTATATTACTCGACGTCGCGTCGTCTAGGACATACCCGACTTACCCACAGGCAGATAATTGGTCACGCTAATACCACTTTATGTGACAACTGTAATATTACACTCACTGTTAAACATGTTCTTGTAGAGTGTCCAAGATACCAGTTGCAAAGACAGCCTAACCTCATCGGATCGGAAGTAAAATCAAAGGAGAAAAATATAAAATTGAACATTTAGTAAAATGTTTTAAAGACATTAATATTTTTAACAGAATTTTAATATTTATAATAAAAATCTGAGAACTGGATTAAATATGACAACCGCAGGATTGTTGTATACAGCAGTCAAGAAATTGCTAATTACTATGATGGTCGCAAACATATGTAGCGGATAGATACTCTGAGAAAGAGCTTTCTTATTTGATATAGCGATACATGGTTTAAATTACAATAGCCTTAAGATCTGCGGCATAGTCTGAAGTTTGTCTCTTGGAAAACACTGCGAAATATATATCCTAACATTTAAATATTAGATTATGAAATTAATTTAAGACTATTTTTTTGTATTTTAGTGAATATCTGTTTTAGACTAGCGATAAATTAGCTGTGTGGATGGATACTCTAACAAAATTCGTTGATGTGCAAGCAGTTGAAAGTGCCGAAGATATTCCTCCTATTACAATATCTACTTTAATGCCAGAAGAGGAAGAAGAAGAAGAAATAGAAGAAGAAGTAGAGGAGGCGGAAGAAGGAGAAGACGAGTTTATAACTGAAGAAGAGGAAGAATATGAAGAAAGTATAAAAGTAGAATACGAAGATGGTAGGGAAATAGAAAAGGAATATGAACGGGAAGAAATAATGGAAGAAAGAGAACACATCAGTGAAATAGAAGCAGAAGATGGAGCGGAAGGAATGATTTACGAAAAAGAGGAAGGATTTGAGGAAGGTAAGAAAAACATAATAAAAACCAGTGTTAAGGGCGTACTATTAAATTAATTATTATTTGTTTAATACTCCATCATGTATTTACAGAGCGTGAACTATTTATTTAGTCATCCATATTTTTACATTCACTGTGTGTTATTTATTAAAAAAATCCTTGAAACTTATAAAGGTGAATTAACAATGTAATAAAGTAACTTTATATCTATTGAAAACAGATGCAGAATTCGACTTTTTGTTAATTTCCAAAACGTTACGAGGAGCATCCTATACTCATATCAGAAATCTTAAGTGAAAAGTTCTGTCTTCTTTTAGTTTTTAAAATTTAGGATAATTTGTTGTAATGTTTATGTTCACTGGTTTTCAACTGCTAACAATTTAATTCTACAGAAAAAACTGCATGGAGTAACTGCGAAGTGGATTGAATAATTCTGCGGTTAAAACAGCTAGTCACAAGACCAGATAAAATGTGGAGGGTGATTGTCAAGGTTTGATTGAACAACCTATCAATAATAAAAATGAAGACTGCTCAAAGAAACATTGTACAGCCTCGGAACTGGATTGATACTATGAAGACGACCACGGTAAGAAATAAGGACGAGCGAAAAATATCCAAAACCCAGATGAGAATTCATTCAATCTTCGCTTATCCACTGCTGGACATAGATCTCCCTCATAATTTTCCATCAATTCCGATCTTGTGCCTCTTGCATCCAATTCCTATGACAACGTTTTAGATCGTCAGTCCAACGTGTGGTGGACGACCTCTGCTTCGGTAGGCGCCATCTCTTGGTCTAAATTCCAGTATCCGCTTTGTCGATCTGTTATCTGTCATTCGAGCCACGTGACCTGCCCAGTTCCATTTCAGTGTTGCTACTCTCTCTACAGCATCAGTCACCCCTGTTCTTTGTCGTAGCTGGCGATTTGGGATCTTGTCTCGTAGTGAAACGCCCAACATAGCACGCTCCATCGCCCTTTGACAGACACGGATCTTTTGAACAGTTCTTCTTGTCATGGTCAACGTTTCCGCACCGTAAGTCAACACTGGCAAAACACACTGATTAAAGGTTTTTCTTTTAAGACATATTGGTATATCAAACGATTTGAAAATATGGTTCAGCTTGCCGAAGGCAGTCTTATACGACGGAGAAGCTCAACGGTTTGGTTATCTTTTCCTATGCGGATCTCATGACCTAGGCATTTCTAGGCCATTACCTGGTCTATGGATGTTGTTCCTACGCATATATCTTCACTGACTACAAGATTTGTCATCAGGTTTTAGATATATTTATTTTCAATCCCCCTTCTAGCGAGGAAAGGTAGAGTTGATTTAAAAGTTCTTTGGCCTCATCTATCCTATCAGCTATTAGTACAATATCATCTGAAAACCTTAGATGGCTAAGCTTTTCTACGTTTATGTTTATGCCCTTGTCGGTCAGTTTTGCCCTTTTACATATACAGGGTGGTGAAACGTCATACGGGCCATAGGAAATTCAATGGAAAATTCTGAATTATTGAATTCCTGCTTCCCTAATTATTATTTTACATCAAAAGTCATACCAAACTATTTGTAGAGGACTGAAATATGTATTAAAAACAAATATTAAAATAGTTCTACGAATTAAATGTATTCCAAAATTTTGTAAAAATATACTACATTTTTCAGGCCACCCCTTAAATTCAGGCCATACGAGGTACTAGAACGTGTATGAGATGTTGCGTTTGGTCATATTTATGTTTCTGATATTTGACAATATTTGAATTTCCAAAATTTTAATTTTGTGATTTATTGTTTAAAAAACAATATAGTTGATTAAAAAATGTAATCACTTGCGGACAAACTAGTAATAATAAAAATGTTTTATTCAGGCAATAGTGCGCGAATTGTCAGTTCTTTATTTAGCGTAAGATATTCCAATAGACCAATTCAAAGTCATTTAACAATTCAAAGGATTTTACAATATTCTGTAACTAATCATGATTTTTAATTATACCTGTACAAACAATATTGCTGAGGTACCCACAAATTTAGAAAAACAAAATGAAATAAATGTAGAGTTTGTAGAAATGCAGCAGTTGTAGAAAATCATAGAATAAGTTCTCGGACCATTGCAGACCAGTTTAATATTCATAATTCTACGGAGTTAAAAATTTTGAAAAGGAATAAATTCCGTTCATACGAACTGAATATATTTCATCAATTTTATTGCCTTTTAAAAAACACTACACTAGTAGTAGTAGTATTTGTAAAAATTTGCACAGTTTAGGATTTGTAATTTAATCACAAAATAAAAAAAAATAATAAAATGCAACATGTCATACACATTCTTGTACCATTTTGTGGCCTGACGTTAAGGGGTGGCCTAAAAAATGTATTATATTTTTACAAAATTTTGGAATATATTTAATTCGTAGAACAATTTTAACATTTGTTTTTAATACATATTTCAGTCCTCTACAAATAGTTTCTTATGACTTTTGATGTAAAATAATTAGGGAAGCAGGAATTCAATAATTTGGAATTTCCCATTCAATCTCCTATGGCCCGTTAGGCGATTCACCACCCGGTATATTCCAAAAGCGTAGTGAACAGTTTCGGCGATATGGTGTCCCCCTGGTGTACTCTACGTTGTATCGGGAATTTCTGGGTTTGACGATCACCCACTCTAACACTGGCTGTTGCGTTTTGGTATATGTGTTTAATTATATTTATATAGCATACAAGATACTGTCAAATATTTTGCACAAGAGATTAAAGCCTTATACTGAAATGTTTCTAGGAGAATATCAGGCAGGATTCAGGCGTGGACGTTCAATCATTAACCAGATCTTTACACTACGACAGATCCTCGAGAAAGCGCAAGAGTTTAACATAGATATGTATCATATTTTTGTCGATTTTAAAGCGGCATATGACAGTGTCTTAAGACCAAGTCTTTATAACGTTATGAATGAGTTAGGAATTCCAAAAAAACTCATATGTTTGATAAAAGTGACAATGGCGAAGATGCTATCGGCAGTAAAAATTCAAAACGACTCGTCAACCCCATTTCAAATACATAGGGGGTTAATGCAGGGAGATGCGCTGACGTGTCAGCTTTTTAATGTAGCCTTAGAAAAAGTTGTACGAGACGCTAATTTAGATAGCAGGGGAACAATATTTAATAGAACAGTCCAAATTCTAGCATATGCAGACGACGTGGACATTATAACAAGAACTAGTGCGAGAACTGTGGAAATCCTAACCGAGCTCGTAGCAGTAGCAGAACGAATGGGGTTACATATAAATCAAAATAAAACCAAATTCATGGCGACTAACACAAACACAAGAGCTGTAAATGTTGACACAAATTTAATCATCAATGACCAAAACTTCGAAGCAGTCAAAGAGTTCATATATCTAGGGACATCGGTTAACCCCAATAATAACACATCTGAGGAAATAAAAATGCGAATAATAATTGCAAACAGGTGTTATCATGGTCTATCAAAGTACTTAGCTAATAAACATCTTCAAAAAACTCGTATAAGGCTGTATAGAACACTGATAGTCCCCGTTCTCACATATGGATCAGAGGCATGGACGCTAACGAAAACAGATGAATCCGCTCTATCCATTTTTGAAAGAACGGAATATGGAGAGCGTAGCTATAACTTTGAACTGCAGAATATCTACAAGCATACGTTTGATGGTAAAGATATTACCACTATAATTAAGCGAAACCGCCTGCAGTGGGCAGGACATGTAGCCCGGGTCCCTGCATCGAACATGATAAAAAAGATTCTAACAGCGCAACCCGTGGGAATGAGAAGACGGGGTAGACCAAAGCTGAGGTGGATGGATGGGGTAACACAGATGCGGAGAAGCTCGGAGTCGGCAACTGGAAAATGCAAGCAAGGGACAGAAGAGAATGGCGTAGAAAGCTTGAGAAGGTCAAGGACCTCTAAGGGCTGTAGCACCAAGATGATGATGATGATAGCTGCTCTAGTATCTTCATAAAATTGATTAACTTCCTCATCCGGGTGGCTCGTAGGTGGTGCGTAAGCCTGTATAATTTTAAGTTTGTATCTTGGGTTTAATTTAAAAATAAGATAAATGACTTTGGTACATATACTTTTTATTGTGATTATGTTTGGTACCCATTTTTTTTTTAAATTATAAAACTCACTCCTCCAACAGATGAATCTTCATTTTCTTTGAAATGGAACATATTTCCAGACTTAAGTATTATTTGATCTTCTTTTCGACGCCTAACTTCACTTATACCGATTATATCCCATTTTATGTATTGTAGTTCATTCTCCAGTTCTATCATTGATAAAGTTTCTTTCATGCTTCTGTTGATAAAGTTTGTACATTGTAGGCACATATATGCATTTGTCGTTTGTTTTGGTGGCCTGATCTCTTCCGGTGATTCTTAGCACCCTCTGCTCCAACACTGTTCTGACCGCTACCTTGGTCAGGGAAATTGGAACCGCCGGGGACTGAGGGCCGTACACTTGATGTATCCATTATGAGGGGAACTGTATCCATTATGAGGTCGCTGAAAGAAATAACTCAAGTGCCGAAAGATAAACAAATAGACATTTGCGCTCTAAAGGAAACAAAAAAGAAAGAAAAAGGACAATTAAAATTGGGTAAATACATACTAATCTACAGTAGACTGGCAAAAGAAAACAGGGCCACAGAAGGTGTAGCCTTAGAAGGAAGGCCTGAACATTATCTTTGTATACAGCTCAGAAAATAACAAGCCTCAACCAACAACGGAAACGTTTTATAAATATTTACAAGTAGTAGATCAAGTTAGAGGGAATATGATAATATTGGGGGACTTTAACGTTTGAATAGGCAATCAAGTAATACCCGGAATTACGTAAAAATATAACGAGAATGTTAAAATCGGAAATGGAGAACTAATGATAAACTTCTGCACGAATAAAGAAATTAGAATAAGCAACATATTGTCCACAAAGACCAACACCACTATACATTCAATTACACCCGTGGACAAATATATATGATAGATTATGTTATAACCAACAGAGATATATACCCATCAAAAATAATCGTGTCTCAACTCAGATGTAGGTAGCGACCATAGTATTATGTAAAATAAGAATTATCATGAAATACGTTACACCCAAAAGAGCGGCACCAACACAAGCAAAAATCAGAGTCGAAGGACTAAATACAGAATTCACAAAATATTTGTACAGAAAAAGAATATTCGAGAAGATTGCTGGGATATTAAAAAACGATAACATCAAATAAAGCAGGGAAAATCTCAAAAATAACATAATTAACGCACCAACAGACTCACTTGGAGAGAGAAAATTAGCGAACACTAACATACCAAAAAATTAAAGCCCATGGTATAAAAAGAAAGTAAAGACAAACTGTCAAGGAAAGAAGACATAATTTTTACAATACAGAATACAACAAACACAAAAAGCATATACTTTAGTTAGACAAATAAAAAGGGAACAGTGACCGAGCTTCTCAAAACAGATGGAACATGATTTCTAGGGAACACGAAAAAAAAATGGAGAATGATCAGACGACAAAGGAACACTTTCGATCGCTGTTTACTAAAGGTGATGATAATGAATCACCAACACTGAGGTGACGACAAATGCAGAAATAGATATTGAGGAGGAAGAGGAAATAGCAGGAAAACAACAAGGTTTTAACATGTTAATTTCCCTCAAAAAAGACAAAATATACGGTTATAACTGCAAATATACTTAGATATAAATTGGAGCTAGAAGATCAGAAAATAAAAAAAGTGATGAGTTTAAATATCCTAACCATCACATTATCTAGCTACGAAAAGCTTGAAACATAAGTGGAAGATCAAGTAAATAGAGCAAACATAGCCGCAGGTTGCCTAAATGAAGGGATATTGAGAAATAAAAATATCGGGAAAGAAATGAAAGACAGAATTTACAAAACAGTCATCAGATTATTAATGACATACGCGGCAGAAACAAAACATGACACAGAGAGGATAAAAATGATGCTAGAAACAGCAAAGAAAAAACACATAGAAAAATTTATGGTAAAACAACACTTCGGGACAGAGCTAGAAATACTGATATATGACGTAGATGCAAAGAAGAATATCAAGAAATAGAAGAGTAGAATGAAACGATCATATAAGCCGAACGATAACAAATAGATTTGTAAAGACGACAAGAGATGGTTCCTTAATAGAAAGACGATCAGTACGAAAACCACGAAAACGATGGAATGACAACTTATAGGAACATCTTACAACAAGGAACATTGAAAAACAGACGGAGTCATGTCTATATAAAAAGAAGAAGAAGAAACTGCATTTAAACTGCATTTAATTTATTACTATTAGAAATTACACTTGTTTTTTAGTCCTACATTTCTCAAATTCTGTCACTCAACATAATATTGTATGAGGTTGAAAAATGAGGAGGTAGTTCAAGCAACCTAACAACTGACAGGTCGCTAACTATACCTAAAGACAGAGCGTGTAGCCTGTTTGTTTCACCATAGTTTCTGTATAAGACGAATATACTAATACTACTTATCGATCTTATTGAATTTCCTTTTCAAATTCTATATAGCAGATTAATATTTGCTGCATTTATTATTTACCTTTAAAAACTTCCAATAATTTGCTTATTTATATATTTTTAATACTTTGGTCCTTTTTAATTTCCACAGAAACTAAAAAGGTGCAATTATTTACACTACATTAATTGTAGGAATGGCTGAAGTTGATGAAAAAATAGATCTTCAAGAATTTGGCGAAGAGGGAGATGCTGATTTCGACGAAAAAAAGGAAGGAGGACTCATCCCACCGACAGACGAAGAAAAGCTATTAGAGGAAGAAGCACAATTAGGTCCGCTAGATACCGGCGAAGAATATGGCGAAGAATACATAGGCAAATTACCCGATGGCCAGGAAAAAGGTAAATATGAAAGTATATATATATATATTTTTAGAGATAATAGTTGAGATTTCCATTAGTAAGTGCTACAAGACAAGTAATATTCACAATGTTGCTCTTTTTCTATTATTTACTTAAGCTAAGTTAGCCTATTTTTAGAGTGAAGAAGAAAATTTGTATTGTAAATTATTATAACAAGCACAATATTTTTATCCAGACTCAAGCCATAGGGCTCTTATTCCCTATATAGGAAAAATTTTCTCAACCCAGATACCTAGAGTACCAAAAAGATTGAGCTCTGGGCGAACTATTTCCGTTTTTGAAGTCTTAGTTAACCTGGATATCTGTAGTAGTGAGAATAAAAGTTGTCATCTGGGTGCTTTATATCCTACATTGTCTCTGTATTAGTATACCAACATTTCTATACTATCGAACTTCTCGTTATTTATCACGAAATTAATTATTTTAGGTGTCGTTACATAAATGATCATTATTTGTTCTGTTATTTTATTAAATGGTATGAGAGCTAATCTATTACAATTTAAAAGAGAAATTCATAGTGCTTTGCTGTATATCAGTCTTAAAAAAGTTACTATGAAGTAAAAACTTCCTTTGTAAAATGGTATAAAATTATTCAAAATGGATTTATAAATTTTCAGAACGTTTATAATTGTATCGGATCATCATCAGTGAAAACCCTAGAAATAAGTATAGTTGTAATTAGTAATAAGTTTTCGCTAATTCATTTAAAAGTGCTCGCATATCTTTTTCTGTTCTGTCAAGTAATCTGACGAAGAGAATTGTATTGCGAATAATTAAAAAGTAAGATAAATATTTGCCTTCAAGCGATGACGTCATTCAATCAACCGGAATATTGAGTGAAGATTTGGTACTAAATAAAACTAATAATAGTTTGTATTTGGATAATATACTTGTTGATAGTGTGAGCGTTTTGTAGAAATGGCCGAAAGAATGGGGGTCCTAATAGAATTCAAAAGAGTGTTAATAGTTGTTTATGTGTACGTATCTATGAAAGTACAAGTTCATATATCTATGGACAACCTGTGGCATTTTAAAAAGAGAAAAAGGTGTATGAAATTGCGGGAATTTAATTATTTAAATTGTCGTCTTGAATTGAAATTGATTGATATATGAAAAGGACGGAGGAATTTAGTAGCATGAGTACCAAGAATGTTGATTAAATATTTCTTTTAGGTACTTTGGATTAAATTCTATTCAAACTCTGTAAAACTCAAACGTCTATAAAATAGTAAAATTGAGGAAAGGATGTATTAACAAAATGATATGTTATGTTGAAGAGTAAGTCTTAGCCTAATGGATACACTGTCTGTACACACACCTAGTTTTCTCAACTCAACAAGTTACTATCAGCAAGTCCTCAAAGACACTTCGTCTAAGGACTAGCAACCTCCGCGGAGTTCTACATTACCATGTAGCTAATTCCGTTTATAACTTAAACATCCAAGTTTTTTAACATCAAAAATGTAATTCAAAATTAATTCAACTATATTTAAAGGGTTTTACCCATTTATTTAGTGGCTACAAACATATATAAATCCACATAGCACTGATGATGGAATAGTTATTCCGTAAAAGTTCTATAATGTAACCCGATAGGGTTTTTATATTAATATACCTTTTATAAAGAATATTTTTTTAATAAAAAATTTAATGATTCATGGTATACAACCAACTACAGGAAATCAGTAGTAACAATGTCAAATTATTTTACTATTGACACACAATTATATATTTCATCTAATTTACTTACCATTGCATGTCATTATCATTGACAGATATCGAAGTTGACAAAAATAGTGATGCTAATGGGATTAAATATAAAAATAGCGAGGAACTATATCAGAGCTTTCTTGAAACTGGCGACCAAGAAATAGCGGATGAACTACTGTCCAGCCTAGACGCCGCTAGAAGACAAAAGTGGACCGAAACAGTAGAAAGTCTAAACTTCCAGAAATCAAGCAGACAGGCATGGTCATTACTAAGAAAATTAGGGAGTGGTGTCCGTACGAAACGCCAAGAGGTAGCCGTAAAGCCAGATGCCATAGCCTCACATATAGTAAAAACATTCAGAGCACCAAAGGATAAAGCACACACCATCTACGTAAAGAGAGAACTTAAAACTTTAAAACATGTAGCCACAGAAACGGAGCATTCCCTCCCCTTCACCAGCGAAGACATATCAGAGGCTCTAAAAGATGTTAAGCCAGCAAAAGCACCAGGATTTAATAATATTCACCCTGAATTCCTACTAAATTGTGGCAAGTATACAAAATTTTGGTTTGCTCGATTTTTCACAGACATCATGGAAACTGGAAATATCCCACAAGAACTAAAGCGCTCTAAGATAATAGCCATACCAAAGCCAGGCAAACCCGCTGACAACCCAAAAAACTACAGACCAATTGCGCTTCTCTCTGCCATCTACAAACTATTAGAGAGGCTTATATATAATAGAATCAGTACAGAAATGTTCCAGGTGATCCCAGTCGAACAAGCGGGTTTTCGACCAGAACGAAGCTGCGCGGACCAGGTCATGTCACTCACCACCTACATCGAAGCGGGTTTCCAAAGAAGACAAAACTTCAGCGGCATTTATTGATCTCTCGGCAGCTTACGATACAGAATAGAGAGAGGGCCTTATATACAAAATTCTCCGTGCAATTCCCTGTAAACAAATAGCACGTTTAATAGAAAGCATGCTCAACGACCGAATATTTCAAGTAGTGATGGGCACATATATCAGCCCACCAAAGAAACTTAAGAATGTCCTACCACAGGGGTCAGTGCTCTCTCCATTACTATTTAGCTTATATTTAGCAGATATGCCAGAAACACAATCAAGAAAGTTCGGATACGCCGATGACTGGGCCATCACTACACGATGCAGAACACTAGAAACATCTGAAGAAGTTCTGATGGCAGACTTATATATATATATATATATATATATATATATATATATATATATATATATATATAATATAAACAAAAATCATCAACAACAGATTAACAAATGCATTAGATGCAGCACAGCCAAGAAAGCAAGCTGGCTTCAGAAGTGGATTCAGTACCATGGATCATATCCATACGCTTCGAGAACTAATGAGTAGAGCTAAAGAATATGAAATACCGCTAGCATTAACCTTCATAGATTTCGAGAAGGCTTTCGATTCTATATATCCCAAGGCAGTAATAGAAGCTTTGACCAACCAAGGCATTGACAAACCTTACATAGAAACTTTAGCAAATATATACAGACAAGCAAAAGCTAAGGTAAAAATTTATGAAAACACTCCAGAATTTCCCACTACTAGAGGCGTCCGACAAGGAGACTCTATATCACCAAAGCTCTTCACTGCAACTCTAGAAAATATATTCAGCAAAATGAACTGGCAAAACAAAGGCCTATGCATTGATGGAGAATACCTCAACCATCTAAGATTTGCAGACGACATCGTTCTAATTGCTAAAAATCCTGCAGAACTACAAGAACTTATAAGCGACCTAAATGCAGCTAGCAATGAAGTTGGCCTAAAAATGAACTTGACAAAAACAAAAACCATGTACAACGAGCTAGTGGATGTCCAAGATGTAATAATAAATAATACTGCACTGGAGACAGTAGACGAGTATATATACCTGGGACAATTAATACATAAATCTGGCTCATTACTCCCAGAAATCAACAGAAGAATGAAACTGTCTTGGGCAGCTTTTGGTAAAAATTCAGTTATATTCAATCTAGGATGCCACTCCACCTGAAGAAAAAGGCATTCGATCAATGTATACTACCAGTCATGACATACGGCTGCGAAACTTGGACACTAAAGAAAGATATAATAGCTAAACTCAAAGTAACTCAAAGGTCAATGGAGCGATGCATGTTAGGTATAACCAAGAGAGATCGAAAAAGAATAGAATGGATCAGACAGAAAACGAAGGTCACTGATGTAATCCACCGAATAAAATCTTTAAAATGGCAGTGGGCGGGACATTTAGCAAGAAGAACTGACAATAGATGGTCCACTAGAATTACTCTGTGGTACCCAAGAGACGTCAAGAGACCAAGAAGACGTCCAAATCTAAGATGGGACTATGACATAAGGAAACAAGCCGGTACAACATGGCACAGAAAAGCGAATATTAGACAGTCGTGGGCAGACATGAAGAACGACTATGTAAGGGAGGCTGCACCATAATTGGTAGAATACGCTGATAATGATGATATATATTGAGCAAATATTTTCGCAAGTGGCGGCTTCAACCAAATGCATCCAAAACAGAAGTAAGTTGCTTTCACCTGAACAATAAACTTGCTGGAAAGGAACTCAACATACGGTTTGAAAATACCACACTTTCCCACAACAAAACACCGAAGAACCTGGGCGTAACACTAGACAGAACGCTATCATTTAAAGAGCATTTAACAAAAACTGCCCAAAAGTTGAGTACAAGAAATAACATTATACAGAAGCTCTGCGGTACCACCTGGGCGGCTTCCACTCCCCGCTCTACTGCTTTAGCCCTTGTTTTCTCGACCGCTGAATATTGTGCCCCAGTTTGGCTACACAGTCCACACGTAAAAAAGGTCGACACTCAGCTGCACAGCACTATGAGGATTATAGCTGGTATAATTAAATCAACTCCCACCCAATGGCTTCCAGTATTAAGTCACATTCCACCTCCACATTTACGACGAGTTGACGCACTTACACGTGAATACAAAAAGATCATGAACAATATAAACCTGCCGATCCACCAAGATACCGAGGATGCACTAAATACCCATCTACGTTCAAGAAAACCACCAATGAAAACGGCAAGAATGATACATGAGGAGTTCAACATCACGAATGCATGGTCCCAAGAATGGAATGCATGGCAAAATAACATGCCCTGTATTACCCACAAGCCACATCACATTTTGATCTTCCACGTAAAACATGGTCCACTCTAAACAGGATCCGAACCAGACATGG